GCAAGCTTGCTGAAGGTCTCCTCAGAAAGGCTCTTGAACGTTCTAGCTCTTTAAAAATTCCATTTACTATGTATGCTTGAGTCCTGCCATCATCATTATTGCTTGAATAGCCTCGATCAGTGGCCCTGAACTTCCCATTTCCAGCATAGTTGGAGGATGCAGTTCACGGCAGTCCGGAGGGGGCAGTCTGGAGGGCCAGGAATGTTGTGTATCTCAGCGAATCTTTCCACAGCATCCATGGCAGGTGATCATTTCCTCTCAACACCACCAGCATCCTAAGCTCTCTTCACCTCATTATACCTTCAGGAGTTGAGGGACCACTTCTCTTACCCTGTCATCTTGATAAAGCCCTCCCTTCAGCTACTCCAGACCAAGTGGACGCCTGGTGTTGCTCTCACTATCTCTAGACACTAAAGGGTGGTCCAGCTGTGACCTAAGCAGCGCTTAGGTCAAGTAGCTTGGGTCAAGTGGCCAAGTAGTGCTAAACCATCACTACCTTGTACCTCCATTCAGACTTTTAGACCAGGCTAGGCTTGAACTCACTGATTTCTACCTCCCCTGTCTCCCAAGTGCTGGGGTTATAGGTGTGATCTTTATTTAAAAAAACAAAAACAAAAATCAGAAGCTGACCTTAAATTTGCTATGTTGCTGAAGATGACCTTAAACTTCTGATCCTCCTGCCTCTACCTCTCAAGAATTGGGATTACAGGTGTGTGCTACTATGCCTGGCTATACACTTAAAATTTTAAAACATTTAAAATTGTTCTAATGTGATTTATACTCGCATCCATCTAGTTTGAGTTCTGTAGGAGCTAGGCCTGGTGCTGCAGGCCTGTGAGCCCAATACTGTAGTAGCTGAGACAAGATGATGGAAAGTTCAGTATCCTTGATCTATATATAATGTGAAATGACCAGCCTAGACAGTTTATAAGACCTTGTCTCAAAAACAAACAAACAACAAACAAAAAAACCCAAACAAGAAAGTTGGATGAGACTATGTGGAGTCAGGTAAAGGGGACCAGCAAAAGTGGGATAGAAGGAAAGGGGCAGGCTACATAGAATGATGGGCTGGAGAGATGGCTCAGTGGTTAAGAGCACTGGCTGTTCTTCCAGAAGATCCGGGTTCAATTCCCAGCACCCAGATGGCAGCTCATAACTGTCTAAACTCCAGTTCCAGGAGACTTGATATCCTCTTCTGGCCCCCATGGGCACCACACACGTGGTACACAGACAGGCATGTAGACAGAACATCCATACAATAAAACAATAAAATGTTTTAAAAAGAAGAAATATAATACATATATGTATAGAAATGTTGAAATGGAAACCATTTCTTTGTATGTTGTCCAAAAAATTAGTTTTTCTTTTTTCTTTTCTTTTCTTTTTTTTTTTTTTTTTTTCCAAGACAGGGTTTCTCTAGTCCTGGCTGTCTTGGAACTCACTCTGTAAACTAGGCTGGCCTCAAACTCAGAGATCCACCTGGTTCTGCCTCCCTAGTGCTGGGATTAAAGGTGTTCCCACTACTGCCTGCCTCAAAAAGTTAATTTTAAAAAAGTTAGAAACCCTAAAAAATTAAATAAAGCCAGGTATGATGGCACAGCTCTTTATTCCTGGCACTCAGGAGGCAGAGGTAGGTGGATCTTTGTGAATTTGAGACCAACCTGTACTACAAAGCAAGTTCCAGGACAGCAAGGACAGTTGCACAGAAAAACCCTGTCTTGGAAAAAAATAAGCCAGGCACAGAAGCCCACGTGTGTAATCCACAGTGTTTCTTTTCTGTGGGGGCTGTATGACATGGCCCGCCGTGAAGGTTAAAGAACAGCTCGAGGAAGCCAGTTCTCTCCTTGTCTGGGTGGTCCTGGGATCAAATGCAGACCCTCAAGCTTGCTGGCAGGCAAGTGCTTGCCCATTGAAACATTGTCCCGTGTTTCTAAATGATCTTTTCCACCTCTACCTCTCATTATAGGTCCCTGCCGTTTCTCTTTCTTTCTGATTTTGTTTTGTTTTTAACTTGTTTGGTCATTTTGGTGTTTGAGATAGGATCTCATGGAGCCCAGGCTGGCCTTGGAGTCATTATATAACAAGATGGCCTTTGACTCCTGATCTTCCTGCCTCTGCCCTGATGTGCTGGGATTACAGGCGTAAACTACCACTCCTACCACAAGCATTTGTTTTGGTTTTGTTGTTTTTGTTTCTGGGAGACAGGCCTTTCTGTGTAGCTTAGGCTAGATTTAGATTTAGAAGCCTGTCTGCAGGATTCTGCTTACAGGTGTGCTCCACTCCAGCCATCCAGAACGTTATTACTTGACTACTGCATTGCAGTGGGACCATTTATTCCTTTGCCTCCAGTCCCTTCTGCCCCTCTGTCAATTCATCCTAACCCCACAATTAAAGAAACTGAATCAGAGAATATACTGTGATATTTAGTGTCATGTTTCCCAACTGCTTATAAGAGTCCAAAATCCACAGTAGGCCTGTGGCACAACCTTGGTGGCAGAAGCAAAGTTAAGCAGCTCAAAGCTATCCTGAGCTACACAGCAAATTTGAGGCTAGCCTAGGCTACATGTGAACATCTCAAAAAACTTTAAAAGGGAGGCTGTTGAGATGGCTCAAGGGTTAAGCCAGCATACTGCTTTTCCAGAGGACCCAAGCTCAGTTCCCAGCACCTAAGTTTAAGTTTGGTGGCTCACAAACCCCTGTAATGCCCCTGATTTACACATACACATACACATCATGAAAAATAAAAATGTTTTTAAGTTCAGGCTGAGTGTGGCAGCTCATATCGTGACTGTACTCCCAGAATGTAGCAGACTAAGATAGGAAGATGGCCTCCAGTTGGAGACCAGCCTGGGCAAGACTCTCTTCCCTAAAGCTTTCCTTCACCTAGACCAAAGGAATTTCTCTAGACCCATCATGTAGCTTGTTGATGCCTCCTGTATACCTCACTTCACACTGTGCATGATTAGAAATATTCCTTAGTCACTACAAGTACAAAATAGTTATCTCCACACTATTGCTGTTAAATAAGTGCAGCGGCAGGAGGAAAAACCTTACTCCTTACACCACACTCCATGCCATATCCTATAAAACTGGAACTCTAAGCTGGGCGATGGTGGTGCAGGTGGTGGTGGTGCACACCTTTGATCCCAGCAATCGGGAGGCAGAGGCAGGTGGATCTCTGGGAGTTTGAGGCCAGCCTGGTCTACTACAAGCTAGTTCCAGGACAGCTAGGGGTATGCAGAGGAAACCCTGTTTCGAAAAAACAAACAAACAAACAAACACTGGGACTCTAGATCGTGCCTTCAATCTTATGGTTCCCTGTCTCCTTATTAAACTGCGATTTAATATTTATATATTTAATGCATGTGTGGAGGTCAGAGGACAACTCTCTGTCAGTTCTGTCTTTTCACAATGACCCTCAGGCTTGGCAGCAACTGCCTTTACTCACTGGGCCATCTCCCCAGTCCTAATTTTTGTGCCTCCAAAGTTCTGGAATTAAAGGTGTACAGTCACTTTACAGGGTTTTGAACCCAGGGTTTTATGAAGGCAAGCACTCTACCAATTAAGCCATATTCCCAGCCTGCAATTTTTGTTTTGTTTTGTTTTGTTTTGTTTTGTTTTGTTTGTTTGAGATAGGGTCTCACTATGTAACTCTGGCTGGCTTGGAACTTGCTATGTAGATAGGTGTCGTTGTTGGGGTTTCTATTGCTGTGATGAAACACCATGACCAAAAAGCAGCTTGGGAAGGAAAGGGATTTATCTGGCTTATGCTTTTTTGCTTGCCTCCCCTGGCTTGCTCAGTTTGATTTCTTATAGAACCCAGGATTGTCAGCCCAGGGAATGGCATCACCCCATCAATCACTAGTTAAGAAAATGCCTCACAGCTGGATTTATGCCTATATAACTCTAGCTTGTGTCGAGTTGACATGAAGACTAGCCAGCACACTGGTCTAGCCTCAAACGGAGATCCTTACCTTTTTATGAGGTGCTGGGGATCAACCCAGGACTTCCATAGGGGTAGGCAAACTTTCTACCATGAGTATACCCTTAGCCATTATAGTTTTTATTCAGCAGGCTCATTACTTAGGTAAGGACGATCTTCTAAGTTTCCTGCCTAACCCCACCTCCCCAGGGCTAAGTAAGCACTCTACCAACTGAGCTACATGCCCAGCCAACATAAATGATTCATTCTTAGACTGTATTATTTGTGTGTGTGTGGGGGGGTGAGGAACTGGGCTCTTATGGCAGCCATTGGACAGCTCTGTGACATTGGCTCCCTCCTTCCACCTTTAGGTGGGTTCCGGGTATCAAACTCAGGTCTTCGGGTGTGGGTTTCAGTGGCAGAAGCCTTTTACCAGTTGAACCTTTTCACAGGCTCCACTCTTTAAAAGCGGTCCATGGAGCGTCCTCATTTTGAAACATTGTAGAAAAATGACACCAGTCTCCAGCAACATGGTCCTATTTACTCAAATCTTCTACCACCACCCTCCTTTTTCCCTCAATTTCTAAGCGAATCGATGGTTATGAGTGGTATGGTACAGGGGGCTGGAGAGAATGCCTGGGCGGTAAGAGCCCTGGCCGCTCTTCCAGGGGACTCGGGTTCGACCCCCAGCACCCACATGGAGGCTCACGACCTCAAATAACAAAGATAAATTTAAAACGCGGTATGGTTTAAAAACGCGGCAGTAGAGCATCCAGCACGAGAAAGGCCAAGGCAGGACTGACTACCTAATGTTAGGGCCAGCCTGGGCTACAAAGGGAGGTCCAGCCTGGAACTCAAAAATCGGCACAACCAGGCGCTCCCGAGATGGGAAGCAAGCGTTCGGCGGGCCAGCTGGGCCGGAGGCGCACAGCAGGAAGGAGCGCGCGCGCCGCCGGCCGCGTCGTTATGTAACGGCGGCGGGCACAGTCGGAAGAGCCGGCGCTCCACGTCCGGCCAGCTCTCCGGAAATCACGCCCCTTTCCCTTTTACGGGCAGGGCTCGCTTGCGTCACAGCGGCCCTTAGGCGGCGGCCGGTTACAGCCTGCCCCACTCCTGACTTCCGCCCGCCTCGAGTCTGGAGTCGCGGCCTCCCCAGCTCTCGCCCCTCAGCCTGCGGCGTCCGACCATGTTTGGCCTGCGGAGAAACGCGGTGATCGGCCTGAACCTGTACTGCGGCGGCGCCAGCCTGGGCGCCGGCGGCGGTTCTCCGGCCGGGGCGCGCCTCACGGCCGAGGAGGCCAAGACGCGGCGCGAGGGGGGAGGGGAGGCCGGCCTGCTGCCCGGCGCGCGGGTGGTCGCGCGGCCGCCGCCCGTGGGCGCGGAGGACCCCGACGTCACCGCGTCGGCAGAGAGGCGGCTGCTCCGCTCGCCCGGCCTCCTCGCCGTGCCGCCCGAGGAGAAGGCCGCGCCGGCCGCCGCCATGTCTCCCGAGGACGAGCTGGACGGCTGCGAGCCGGAGGCGCTCAGCAAGCGGCCGGCCGTGCTGCCCCTGCTGGAGCGCGTGAGCGAGGCGGCTAAGAGCTCGGGCGCCGACGGCTCGCTGCCGTCCACGCCGCCGCCGGCCGAGGAGGAGGACGACGAGCTGTACCGCCAGTCGCTCGAGATCATCTCGCGCTACCTACGGGAGCAGGCGGCCGGCGTCAAGGACGCGAAGCCGCTGGGCGAGGCGGGCCCTGCGGGCCGGAGGGCGCTGGAGACCCTGCGGCGCGTGGGCGACGGTGTGCAGCGCAACCACGAGACGGCCTTCCAGGGTAAGCGGCGCCCGGGGCGGGGCGGGCCGGCCGGCCGGCCGTGCGGGAAGAGCCCGAGCCAGGCTCGCTCTGCAACCAGAATGCTCTGGCCGTGAGTCATTGTTTCCGCCCATCTGGCAGTTGGGTTCAAAAGCCGGAAAGGGTGGGATGTCAGTGTCGGCGTGGGGTCCGCCTGAGCTCCAGAGCCGGCAGAGCCGAGTCCCCTCGCCGTGGGTGGGCAGGGGGTCGTGCCCCGCAGCAGACAAAGGAGGCCATGAGCTTGCATGCTTTTCTTCTTTTCAGGCATGCTTCGGAAAATGGACATTAAAAACGAAGACGATGTCAAATCTTTTTCTCGAGTGATGGTCCATGTTTTCAAAGATGGCGTAACAAACTGGGGCAGGATTGTGACTCTTATTTCTTTTGGTGCCTATGTGGCCAAACACTTGAAGAGCATAAACCAGGAAAACTGCATCGAACCATTAGCAGAAAGTATCACAGATGTTCTTGTAAGGACAAAGCGGGACTGGCTTGTCAAGCAAAGAGGCTGGGTAAGTTTGCCTTACGGTTTAAAGTGGCTGTGGAGTGAAAATGGGGTGCAGGATTTTGTGAAGGTGGAGGCAACTGAAGATTTTTACAAAACTCTTCCTCGGTCCCAGATCTAATTTATGTATCTCTGGTTGCTTGATGTTGGACGTTGTAAGTGGTAGGTCCAGAGAAAAAGTGCTATGGCGGTCTTGAATTGTACCAAAAGGTCTTGTATTCTGTAGGTTCTTCTAATTCAGTTGGATAACCTTCAGAGCAGTGGATTCAAACCTTGAAGAAGTAAGAGTCACCGGTGATGACTAAATTACATTCCCAGTGGGCCCCTTATTTTAATCCAATGGAAACAGGCTAGAGCCTGAATTTGGTTTTAATATCCAAAGAGCTCGTGTGAGGTGTACCCAGCCTCATTAGGAAACACTGACCCCCGGGAGAAATGAATGCTAGTGGTTAGGTTTTCTTCTACCATGTCATGGGGGCCCTCAAAATTCTTCTGTTCAGATTGTGCAGTACTACTGCTGTGAGCTAGTATAACTTGTGAGTGGTTACTCACTGAAAAGAAATGTTTTGCATCCCAGGAGTATATAGTAATTGGTTCCCCATTCGTTGTTTTGGGGGACAGTTTAAATTCACCCTTTCTCTGTATTTAGTGATACAACGGCAGAAACCCATACTTGAAAAATGTGCTTTTCTTTTTTGTTTTCTAGGATGGGTTTGTGGAGTTCTTCCATGTACAGGACCTAGAAGGCGGCATCAGAAATGTGCTGCTGGCTTTTGCAGGTGTTGCTGGAGTAGGGGCTGGTCTGGCATATCTAATAAGATAGCCTTGTGAGTGCAATAGGGGACTCTTAACTCCAGCCGCCAAACCACATGCTTCTGTGAAAAACATGTATTTATGAAGTTGGACTTGAAGTTGCCCGGGCTTTAACAATCCAGGAGTTCTACTCCAGCAACATAGCCAGAAAGAAAGCAAGTGGCTACAGGATTGTGGCTAACAAGAATAAATACATGGGAAACGTGCTCCCTCTTGAAGAGTTACTGTCTGAAAGAAGCCAGTTTTCACTCAGCAAACTTTGGGAGGCCATGGAGGATGACTTGTAGATTGAATGGATGGAAGGGGGTAGGTGGACAGACTGATTCCCTTTCAAAAGAGTGGCCAGTCCTCAGGCTAGTCATAGAGCTCAATAAATGTGCAGAGTCCATCACTCCTGTAGTGTTGAAAGAGAAGTGCTAACAATGGCTGTGATCCGTGTAAGATGGACTTAAGATACAAGTAACCAGACCATGACTAGAAGCCGCAGTACTGTATGAGAATGTGAAAGGAGGCTCTTGGTGAGCTTTCCCAGCTGTACTTCTTGACAAAGTCCAAGTGCTCAGGACATGTAGACCTGTCTACTTTGGCTTGGTTTTGATGATAATCTTAAGTTTATTAGCCTAGTAATGGCCGAAAGTACTTAAGGTTCACTAATTAGTTACAAAACTTAAAAGCCTCATTTTTAAGGAAAACAACATATATAAAATGTATTTGTCTGTAAAAATTGTATATATTTTTACAGAAAGTCTATTTCTTTGGATATAAAAGGAGGGACGACTCTTTCCATGCCCTTTTGAAATTCGCAACTTCTAGTTAGAAACCTATTTCTTACAGCTTTTTAAAACTTTGTCATGATCAGCTCTAGAGTATATACAGAACCAGTTGTATGTGTGGACTGGTTGTAGTGGAACAAATCGGATTCATAACTATGCAGGCTTAATTTTTCAGTCTGATTTTGTATGTAAGGATCACAGGTAGCTGTTGAAGCATTTGACCCCCTGTTGACTTTAAATTGTAAAGTGGTTTGGTAACACAGGCTAGACTCATAACCATGGTGCTATTCACAAGGTTGACTTGTTTGACACAAGTTTAAGCCTGGTGGTGTCAATAAAGCAAATATGTATTTCTTTTCTACTAATGATTGCCAAGCTTTGTTTTGAATTTCTGTATTGGTCTCTAAATGTCCCATCTGTTGTTTAACCTTTACTGTCCTCTCTTTTCTTTACATACTGGCTTGTTAAGATCCTTCTGGTCCCTCTACAGTTATAATCAAAGTCTACATTTCCTCCCTGGAACCCCCCCCACCCCACCTCACCCTCCAACTAAGAACCTAAGTGATCTCCCTCCCATCCTATCAGTCAGCAGAACTTTGTCTCCTTAGAGGTTAGTGATACTTCCTCTTTGAGCCCTATGACCAACAGTAACGGGTATGGGGGTGAAACTCCCTTTTCTTGGATTGCCATCTTTTTCACTGTTTATCCTATTGGTCAAAAGTCCCCTTGGGAATTTCAGAAGTTTGAGTGAGCTGCATCATAAGCTTTTTCTACAGTTTGCTCCTAGTGTGAATATGTTCACTTAAATTTAGAGAAAGGTTTGTTTTGTTGAGCCTCAGTTATATAATAGCCACTGGTGAGCTGAGGTGTTTGTTTGAGCTAGGGTCATTTGAAAGCTTCAGTCTCAGAATGTGACCTTTAGTCAGGACTGCAGATAAAAATAGTCGTGAATCAGATGACTAAGAATGTAATGGGGAAGAAGTGCCCTGCCTCCCATCTCAGCCACAGGTCATCTTGCTGGAGCTATTTGTACCTATGTATTTATCCTTGGTTATGAATTGCTTATTTATGTTTATCTCTTGGACTTACAAGCACTTTATGTAGTTCGATTAACCCTACAGGTTAAGGTGACTAAAAGGCTAGCGCCCCATATCCAGTTGTGCAAGTTTGTATTTATACAGACAGGTATTTTAGTTCCAGGGCCATGAAGACTTGCAGAGCCCAAGTGGCTGAGAATAGGTTTTAGTTAGAGAAGAGGCACATGGCCTGAGTGCTGACTAGCTGACTAGTTGAGACACCCTCCAAAGTGAAGAGGGAGGGACAGCTTGGAACGATGGCTCTCAGCAAATTCTGTTTGTCTTACACTTCTCTCAGGGAAAAAACCATAGTCTTCAAGCATCCATGTACATTCTACCTGGGGTGGTGAATACCTTCATTCTGGTAGAACCAGCGTTTTTAACATCTGTTCCCGAAAGGGTTAGGACCAACTGCAAGTTAATGTGGGTTGTAAAAAAAAAAAAAAAAAAAAAATGTGTTTCCCTAACTTCTGTTTCTTCTAAGGAAAAAAATAAAACCCTTTTTTTTTTCCTCCAAAGTAAGGTGTGGTATGGGTCTTTTCTTATCGCCTTCCTCCACCCCCACCTCCCCTTATGCAAGTCTCTTTAGGGAAGTCAGCTGAGTAAATAACATGTAAGCGAAGTAAAAGTTGATTTGCCTTATAGCAAAGTAATAAGAATATAGCAAAGTAATAAGAATGTGCAATGTAAATTTGAAGTGTTTAATGTATTACTGCTTAAACTTCCGTACTTTTTTGGGTGGTAGAAGAGAATGCTTTTTGGTTTTCCTTTGAGACAGTCTCAAAATAGCCCAGGCTGGACAATCTTAAACTCTGGTCTCAGTGCCTCACCTGACTTTCTTGCTGACAGGTTTCTTATGTCTAAGTTCACTAGCCAAGTTGACCTTGAATTTTTCTTGTCCTGCCTCCACCTTTGGTGGTTCTCTGCTTTAACTGAGATGGATGTATGCCTTCCTTGGGGTGTGTTATCCCAACCTGTCCCTGTAAGGACTGTACTTGGAAAAGGAGTTTTCCTTTCCCCAACCCCTCCCCCCCAAGTGCTTGCAGTCAAACCCAGGACCTTGTGTGTAGTGGACAGGCACTTCACAGCCACACACATCTTAGTTATGATGTACCCAGGGTTTGGTGCATGCCCCATGGGCACTGTCCACCAGTCCTTGTGTTTGTGAAAACAATTTTATCACCTGAGTTGTATGTGGAGGTCAGTTCTACTTGGAAGTCTGGGTTCTCTCCTTCCACTGTGGGACCTGGGGATCAAACTCAGGCTTGGTGGCAGGTGCCCTTACCCACTGAGCCATCTCGTTAGCCCTATTTGATAGGGTGTTGTGTTGTTCTTTTGTATTTTAATGTAAAAGGGTTCACAAAATGTCTCCACCACACACACCCCTTCTGAGATGAAAAAGATTAACCACTTGAGGCTTTACTGGTTCTTGGTATTTGTCAGTGCCTCTCCTTCCAAGGAGGTGAGAGTAAGCCAGTTTGAAGAACTATCCTGCCCTTGTCAAATACCTTGAAAGGGAGCCGAGTCACCATGGAAATGTGCAAATTTGAGGTTTGCATAACTGATTTTCAGCCACAAACACCAATCGTGCAAAGAGCATCCTGCACCTTCCACTCCGTTTTGTCTATTTTGACATCTGTCCCATCTTCCATGAGTTTCATTGCCGGGTGACAGTAAATTTTTATTGGTTTGTCTTGTCTCTATACACACACACACACACACACACACACACTTTTCACTGTGTAGCCCTGGCTGTCCTAGAACTCTAGACTTGGCTTCAAACTCAGAGAACACCTGTCTCTGCCCCCTTGAGTGGTAGGATTAAAAGGCATGTGCCACCACTGACAGGCAGTAACTTGTAAAACCACTTTGCTGGGCTAGTGGCTCATGCCTGTAACCCCATCTCCTGTAACCATGTCCACAGCCCCATTAGATTGAGGCAGAAGTACTGCATGGAGTTAAACCAACATGAGCTGCATAGTGAGATATTCTTAAAGGGGTGGGAGAGGGTTGGGGACTTGGCTCTGAGATTTGGGAGCACTAACTGGGCTTCCAGAGGGCCTAGGTTCAGTTCCCAGGTTCCATGTAAGGCAACTCAAAAGTCACTTAATTAACTTGAGTGCCAGGAGATCTGATTCCCTCCTCTATCTTGAGCCCTGTTCACACAGAAATGGTATCTATTTGTTGAGAATGTGGTTCCATGGCTTTACAGAGGCATGTTGGGACAATGGCACCCAAGGAAGGGTAAGACTTAACATGCTAAATCTTGCTTGGCACATGCTTGGCACACACCTGAGATCCCAACAGGATTACATCAAGTCCAAAGCAAGCCTATTCTATGTAATGGAAAGAGACAGGCCCCCAATTCTTGACCTGGGTTGAATTTCTTTTAATACTGTTCCTGTTGATACTTTAGGAGTTTTGTTTATTTTTAGTTATTTTTGATATAGGGCCTAAGCTTGTGTTGAACTTTGGATACTCCTGCCTTGGCTTTTTATGCCCCCATGAAGGGCCCCTTTTGATGCTTTAGGACATGAAGCTATTCATGCACGGGCTCTTGCTTTACCTTTAAAAATCTGAATTAAGCCAGTTTGTCTACAGCAGCACACTTAACAATCCCAGCCTAGGGGAGTCTGAGGCAATGCTGTGATTTAGAGGCCAGTCAAGGTCATCACAAAGTTCTGTTTTCAAGAAAATACCTTAAAAGTAGATGTTAAGGCTGGGGGGGAGGGTGATGGTGGCTTAAGGATTAGGTGTTAGAGGTCAGCCTCTGCTACAAGATTTTGAAGCTGGTTTAGGCTGAGAACTTGTTTGGGGGAAATAGAAAAAAGTGGGTGTTAATTTCACCTACACTTAGGAGGAGTTAAGGCCAACTGGGACTCTAATGCAAAGAGTAACCTGAGTCCCTGAAGGAGACAACCCACCTCTCCCTGTGTGTGACACAATAATGTTCAGTTCTTTTTTTCCCTGCTGCGGAAGCCCAAGTTCTGACCTCCTTCCTGCCTCTGCCCCTCAAGCGCCAGGTAGATGTTTGCCTATGCCAGCTGCAGACAGAGCCCAGGCCCTTCTGAAAGGGAGGAAGCTGTCAGACAGCCACCCGCCCTTTCATCTTCAATTCTTGTTTTGTGATTTTCCGTTTTTTTTCCCACTTGTGCTGATAAGGGGTGCTGGAGTTTAGACCAAAGTCTCCTGTGTTGGACCTCTGCTGAGCTACACCTGCTGGCTCATTCTTCTCCCTAAGTAATTCTTTCCAAGGTGGGGGCTGTTACTCATTTGTTAGGGCATATGTGTAACCTCAGTCTCCTGCGCTCCACTGACACCCTGCTCCCCCTTTTCTTGAAACACAGTGGTCCTCCAGCCTGGGGTCAGATTTGGGATGATAGTTTGGACTTAGCTGTGAAAAGTCCTGGCATGAGGTGGCCACAAGTCCAGCCTAAAGTTTTTCTCTCAAACAAGTTTTGGTAACTAAAGAATTTTACAAAATTTGAGAAAAGTGCCAGTAGTGTGTAGCATGGCTACAGCCAGGTAGATCCTGAAGCTGAAGAGTGTGCAGAATGCCCTAGTGCTTCTGGGCTTCAGTTGTTCAGACTTCAAATGTCTGCCTCTGTGGACCCCGGCTCCCCACCCCCATCCTCACCCACATGTCAAAGGCTTCTCTGGAGACTTGAAAACTTGGTTCTGTCTTAGTTCATAGTAGTTACCGTGTTAGTTTAGCTTATCTCAGTTATGTGAAGCATCTGGGGGGAGGAGGGGCACCCGCCAGGAGGCTGATGACTCATACAATGCTTGCCAATTGAGCGGGGCTTTTTTCCGTTGGGGGTGGGAGCTGGGGTTGGGAGACCAGTTTCTCTGTGTAAGAGCTCTTGCTGTCCTGGAATTCCCTCTGTAGACCAGGCTGGCCTGAACTCAGAGATTTGCCTGCCTGCCTCTGACTCTGGAGGGGAGAGCTGGGACTAAAGGCTTGTCCCATCACACCCAGATATTTTGTTTTGTTTTGAGACCAAGAGTCACTGTGTTGTCCAGGTGAAACCTGGACTCCAGTAACTTCCTTACCTTCGACTGGAGAAAGGACTGACTTCCTGGTTTTACCTCTCAGGTGCTGAGATTAAAGTCCTGTGCTATCGCACCGGGCCATGCACTAATAGTTCTAACAAGGTAGAACTATTTTGGATTTTTCTGAAATGATTTCTATAGCCCTCACTAGCTTGCAAATCTATGTGTAGGCCTTGAACTTGCAACCATACTCCCACCTCTGCCTCTCAGTGTAGTAACTTTGTGTTTCTACAAAA